TATATACCTGCAACTGGAATTTCTACGGCGAACTCGGTGTAACAGAAAACGGAAAGCATAGCGGAGATACCGGATCTCACATAAGACAGGATGATGGCGGGACCAGCAACTTCGTTAGCTTGAAGCTTGAAGGCCAGTGAGGACGAAAATACCGGCGCCGACGACGGCCCCACTTCCGAACCAGATGAGATCCCACCATGTGAGGTTTATCTTCGTCTCATGGTTGCTCCTGGCCTTGATCTCATGGAGCTCAGCGCGCGGTCTCCAGAGATGGGGTCAGGAGCCGGTCCATGAACCGGTGTGGAGTTTCGCTAAGTGCTTCGATATAATTCCCCATGCTCCTGAAGGACTCCTCTGGAAGAAAATCATGTTTCAGGCTTCGATTTATCCCACTTTCACCTCCTGCTCCACCGCCTACTTCCATCCTAAATTTTTCGCACACAGAATGGCAAAATTAGTAGTAAAAAGGAAAAAAGGGCTCCTCGCGCTTCAATTACATTGCCTCCATCATCCACGTAGCTGTTATTCTCTTCATCATCATTGCTGGCTTTACAAAAGCTGACACCAAAAACCACACCCCTTTTGCTCCCTTCGGCTTTCGTGGCGTTTTCAAGTCCTCAGCTGTGCTTTTCTTTGCATATCTCGGTTTTGATTCTGTCTCAACAATGGCTGAAGAGACTAAAAACCCTGCGCGAGATATTCCTATTGGTCTTGTTGGCTCAATGACGATTACCACCGCTGCATACTGTCTGCTTGCTATAACATTATGCCTTATGCAACCATATCAGCAGATTGATAAGGATGCCCCATTTTCTGCGGCATTCCAAGCTGTAGGGATGAATTGGGCCAAGTATATCGTTGCTGCCGGCGCATTGAAGGGCATGACCACTATTTTGCTTGTCGGTGCCGTCGGTCAAGCCAGATATCTCACCCATATTGCTCGTACCCACATGGCAAACTTGTTCATAGCAATGGAAGCTGATGGCAACCAAGGAACCAAATGGTTAAACCTCATTTGCGTATTCCAAAACTCGAGCTATCCAATATTTCAAAATTTGAACAAGAAAATTTCTACTTTAAATTCTCGATTCAAATCAATTGACACATACAGACTGTTATTTTCTTTATTCCAACCAAACAGATGAGTGAAAATGGAGAACAGTTATCTCGTATTCAGTTAAAACGGAGAAGAAACTAGCAGATCCATTCAAGCTCCAACTTTCCAGTTTCTACCATCCATTCTTATAACTATGACAATTATAATCTTAA